GGACGAGCCACAGAGCATTTGGAACCTGCGGCCCAGTGCTGGTTCTAGTGTGTCGCACCTACGATATTTTGTGCGCAGGTGCGTGGTCGCTCCTTCAGAAATCCAGTCGCTTATGTGACATTAAACAGCCCTACTGAGCTCCGCTTCTGCGGAGAAATGAGCGCAGGTGCGCAACCGCATCCGTGATGGACGAGTCGCTTTTGCAAGGAAGACCGCTTCTGCGGTCACTAGGGCACTTTTGCGATATCGCAGGTGCGATATTTCTTGGTGCAATGCGAGCTTTGTCTCGCAAATGCAAGGCCGCAGGTGCGAAAATGCTGGGCAAAATACATAAAATTGGGGTTTAGCCATTTTCACTCATTTTTGAGTTTTAAGTCTCGGATTTTGGCGATTCCAAAGAGGTTTTTCACGACTTTGAATTGAGTAAGTGTTTTATAACCAAAAGTGATTATATTTCATAAATCCATGTCTATATGCATCCTTTATTTCGGATTTAGATGGAAGAAATTGAAAATTTTGTAAACGTTTCCAAAAACGAAAATTTAAGATTTGAAGGTTCATTTGACATCGGAATTTGATAATTTTTATATGGTTGGACTCATCTCGGAATGGGTGTTCGGATTTCATAAGTTTTTTCGAGATTCGAGAAGTGGGACCCACTGATGATTGTTTAGATGAATTTCGGATTTTAATCAAAAATTAATAAATTCATATGGAATTAATTCCTACGATTAGTATTGAGTATATTGAATTGTTTATGACTATATTTGGGGATTTTGGACACGAATTCGCGAGGCAAAGGTTTATTGGATTCTTGAATTTGGTTGCAAAGCGAGATAAGTGTCGTGGTTAACCTTGACTTGAAGGAGTAGGACTTATTTGTCTATTTGCTACGTGATTTCATGTGCGGGTACAATGTATATGTGAGGTGATGAGTACTTATACGTTGTGGTTGAGTCAAAGCATGCGGGTGGAAATTTTTTTATCGAGAATAATTGCCTATTTAATTAAGATATTCCTGCTTCAGTTTATTATTGATTATTTGATCATTATTCATGAAATTATTATTCATTTAATTATTGTTGAATATTTTTTAAGGTGAAGTCGGTATTCTGGTACTGAATTGACTGATGAGTGTATATCCCCGCATTTAAATACTCTTCCGAATTTATATGATTATTTTCATGGTAAGGAAGAGTGTAAAAGCACGAAGGGTGATGCCGTGCCAAAAGAGAGTTATGGCACGAAGGGTGATGTGCCAATTATAATTATTTATTTATCAATTTATGGGAGGAATGAGAGTAAAAGAACGAAGGGTGGTGCCGTGCCTTTTTCATATTATCAGTTGCTCATTTTATTGTTGATGAATTAATTGGCTGCTAAGTGATACTTCTTCTGCTAAAATTATTATATCATTCCCCTTCGCATGTCCCCTCAAAATTTATAAATTTTTATTTATTATATTATTGTTACTTTGTATTTGTATATACCTGTACAGGTCGTTTACGTACGTGTCTTGTCATAGCCTCGTCACTACTTCGTCGAGGTTGGGCTCGATACTTACAGAGAACGTGGGGTCGGTTGCACTCATACTACACTCTGCACTTCATGTGCAGATTTTGGATTTGGTACCAGCGGCGTACCATAGACATGCTCGAATTTAGCTACTCAGAGGAGACTTAATGTATAACTGCACAGTGTTCGCAGTCCTGAAGTCCCCTTCTATTTTATCTTAGTTGTGTATTATCTTTGAAACAACTTGAATTTTATTCAGTTCTTTATTTGTATTTTTCTAGAAGCACGTGCACTTGTGACACCAGATTCGGGGATGTATTGTACTGATTAGGTGGTTATGGTCTTCCGAACTTTATTTTAATAATTAACTTTTGTTTAAATTAATTTGCTTAAAAATGGTTAAGATTATTTTAACGTTGGCTTGCCTAACAAGTGAAATGTTAGGCACCATCATAGTCCTGAAGGTGGGAATTTCGGGTCGTGGCAGATAGTCAAATAATGTAGAATAACACACACCTCTGAATCTTACTAATTTGTGCTAGTAGGGGTATAAAAATGCTTAATGAAAATAAGGGTTATGTTGTATATGGTTTGTGGCAAGTGAATTGGTTGAGAAACAAATGTGTTCAAATTGTGAGTGTAGTGTATTAAAGTGCTTAGGAGGGTT